ACCACCGAGCCTGCATGTAACTGACCTAGGCCCTTTACATATAAGTGGCGGGCTTATACCTTGGTCTGCTTGATGTACTCCTAATAGTGTGAGCAGGGACTGTTCCTAAAGCTTGGCTGGCTTTTGGAAACCTACTCCTCATACTGGCTTTATTTGCACAGCCTTAATAAAAGGGGAGGTGCTTAGTCTTACTGCAACTTGATACACTATGCTTTGTTGATACCCATAGGAGGCCTCTCTGTTAAGGAAAAGAAAAAGAGGAGTGGATGTGGGAAGGGGAGTTGGGGAGAGGCAATGGTAGGAGAGGAGGGAAGGAAACTGCACACACAAACACACACACACATATATGTGTGTATACATATATTTTGATTAGACATAAGTGCATCTACATGATATATGTTTATGCATATATGTATGTCAATTATTTTAATTTTCTCTTATTTCAATAAACTAAGCAGTCATTGAGCTTTACTTTATTACTTCTTGTGAGCTTTCCAAATCGGATCTGGAAATTTCCTTTGATAAATAAAACATTATTCAAATCATTAATTTCTCTAACTGCTGTAATTATGGGAAGTCATCATCTTTTCTATGTGTTCCATTAATTTTCATTCCCTGAGTTTAGTTTTTGTGTCTTTTGAGTTCTACTTTGGTATACGTTATTCAAATCACTTACTTTCCCAGGTAAGATTTTTTTGGTTTTGTTTTGATACGTTTTGTACCCTTTGTTCAGCTTAATGGAAGGGAAGGACCTGACAGGAAGGGCTATTGCCTATGGGGTGTCAATTTTCACAAAAGTCTAAACATAAGAATGGTGCTGGTTGTTCCCTTACTCTTTGATTTTTTTGGGGGGTCTGTTACCCAGCTCTCAAATAATCATACACAGAGACTTTTTCCTCATAAATATCCTGCCTTTGCTTGGCTCATTTCAACAAGCTTTTTTTTTTTTTTTTTTTTTACATTATATTAACCATTCTACCTTTTGTCTTTGGGCTTTTTCCCTTCTCTTTCTTCTGTATTTCTTACTTTTACTTATACTCCATGGCTGGTGGTGTGGCTGTGTGGCTGTGTGGCTGTGTGGCTGGCCCCTGGCATTATCCTCCCCTTTTTCTTACTCCTTCCTTCTATTTATTTTCTCTGCCTGCCAGGCCATCCTATCCTTTCTTTTTCTTTGCTACTGGCTTTTCAACTATTTATTAGACCAATCGGGTGCTTTAGACAGTCAAAGTAACACAGCTTCACAGAGTTAAGCAAATTCAACATAAAAGAATGCAGTATCAGAAGTCAGTAGGAGACATTCATTCTCTAGATTTGCTGAGAATGCCTTTATAAATTATTATTTCTATAAATTTTCTATTGTATGGCTAAGCTTAACATATGCTTGATCAGTTATTGCATAGATTTGGAGATGTTGTCCCTCACGTAAAATTAAAGGTTTTTGTGAATCTAAAACAGGAGCTGACAGGAGGTATTTTCTGTTATCTGGAGACAATTTGCACACAAATTCGTCTGCACTCTTTGCAGACTAGAGGATTGCTCTCAGAATCACTTACAAGAAAAGCAGCAGAATTACTTTGGCTTCTCTCAGAACTGCATCTATGTCCCTTTTATTAAGTATGGTAATGTTTTAGTTCAAGAATATTCATTGAACAAGTACAGGATTGATCAGGAAATAAGGAAGGCTTCTGTGATCCTACCTATCCAGTACTCTACGTAGTTTGACCACATTGGAAAAGAAAAAAAGATGAACATTGTTCGAGCTGATTATTCTAAGAAATATATAATTAAAGAAGAAAGCATATTTCATTACATGTGTGACTCTGTTTCCTGACTAGCATAGAACAAGCAAGAAAAGCAATTTGGCTGCTCACCTGTTTGAGGCATTGCATATTATATTAATCTCAGGAAGTAATTCATTACCTAATTAGCCACACTGGGAGTATATTTCCAGAGCTTGTTACCACTCCAGGAGTAACAGCCACATAATAAGTCAGAGAAGAAAATCTTTTCAGGGAATACAAAAAAAGAAGTTTTAAAGAACTTTTTCCCATTAAAAATAATGAAGATTTGCGAAATGTTATTTTTATTTATTGGCATCCTTTTTGTTGTCTTTAAAATTTCAGAGACCATGAGTCTCTCACTTAGCAGAGAAGCTAACAATTTTAGGGCTGAAAAGTGAATCAAAAGACTGCATGTTGGGAGCAAGATGAGAAGGAAAAAAGGGAGAAAGAAAATGAAGTATTGCACATGCTTTGTGACACAGTTTGCATATAGTAATTCACACATAACATTTCTGAATGACGGGTATAACTGTGGTGAGCTGTTGTTCTAGTGCCATCTCATTTGGCATACCAATTCTTGGTGTTGACAACAGATTTTACTCCATGGAGAGATTGTAGAGAGCTTTGGAGAGAGACATTGCCAAGAGGATTTGTTTCTTTTAAAGCTTGGAGGCCCAATGGACAGAGTTTCTCTTAAGGGAGTTGTGTCCTCTGCCTCAAAAAAGAATAAGATTTCTGTTTGATTAACAAGGGATGATTATGAAAACAGTGTAAACAGGACATGTATTAGCAAAAATAAGTTTGAAGTTACTTTGAAAATACAGTTAACTGCACTTTGGAAGTGTCCGGTATTAAACTAGTTAAAAGAAACAAATGAAAATAAATTGACATAACCAACAGATAGATGGGACAGTGGGACACACTAGCAAAGCACAAACACCTTGGTTGTGTAACTAGATGCAGTAAATAATACTATGATACAGCATACACATTTTCTCATTCTAGCCATGTTCTTTGATCATTCTTTGATACATAGTAGATAGATATTTAATAATGTCTGCTTTAAATTTTTTCCTGGATACACATTATAATTAGATTTTTGAGATTTGTTTGGACTTAAGATGATAATTATGAATAAATTATATTCCTTCTCAGCATGTCTGTGTTTTGTACTCTTAACCTCCACCATGTTCATTTTGCTTTGGTGGCCTGATGGACATGGTTTCCTGAATGGTGTGGTAGTTACCATGTGGGTGTTCCCTGAGACAATGTATCATTATGCGCATAGAGTGATTGGTCTAAAGGGTGAGATCAACTCAGAAGGTTCAACTCAAGAAATTAAGAAGACAACCATGGATTGTGAAACAAGAACCCTGAGATTTAGAGTTGTCATGTGAGCTCACTTTCTCCAGTTATACTTGTCACTAATCCAAAAAAATCAGCAAAATGTGCTTTCTTCAAAATACTTACTTTAGTGGCACTCAGGGATGGGAAAAGACCTTGGAAGCCTATGATTTTGATGAAATTATCAAAAGAAAACAGGTACCTCAGAAAGAACCTGGTTTTAGTACAAGGTACTGAGTAGAAGAAAAAATAACAAAATAAAAGTATGAAGCGAAGCGTTGGTGGTCAGAAATAACTCAGTAAAAGAAAAAGAAAGAAACCTAATTCAAACCATCAGGAAAAAGAACAGTTTTAGGGAAAGATACTGAGGTCTAATTTTCAAGAGGAGAATTCTATTGATTTTACATCAGTTTCCATTGAAAATATGACTAAATCATTTTAGAGATATGGGCACTCACAAAGCAAAGAACTTGTGGTTAATATGGGTCTTCACTATTTGTGGATCTTGCTTTAAATTGAGCATCAAACCATAGGGTAATAGAATTGAGTTTAAAACATAGACTATATTTGCAACAAAAGGACAATCTGTAGATAGTATATGTATTATTAAAATAGCCTGCTTCATCTTCTTGTCCTATTAGTCTAAATGATGGGCATGTTTCAAAATTTCATTGATATTTGTATCTTAAGTCTGAAATTTTTTTAAAAATATGTGTTTTAAGCAACCTAACTTCCCAAAGGGTGGTGTTAAAGTTAAGAAACATATATTAGGTATTAATAAAAATGTCTACTGAGCTCAACTTCATATGAAAAAAACAAAAGCACAGGATAACTAAAACAATCATGTACAATAAAATAACTTCTGGAGATATCACAATCTGTAACTTCCAACTCAACTATAGAACTGTAGTAATGTAAATAGTTTGGCAATGGCATAAAAACAGACACATGGATCAATAAAATCAAATGGAAGACCCTAGTATAAATCCACACACCTATGAAAACCTGCTTTTTGACACAGAAGCCTAATAGTATTCCACAGAGTATGTAGGCAACATGTTCTTTCTTACTTTTATTGAATGTATTAATATGTACCTTAATTTATCACAGTTGCATGTATTAAAAGGTCATGAAACATGAAATACATATTTTCTTTATTCATTTGCTTATTGGCATTTTCTTTCATTCCATCCATATCACAGTCTGAATAAACATGAAAATTCAGCTGTCTTTGAAATAATGGTTTCATTTTCTTTGTATATGAACCCAATTGCATTTTTGAGGAAACTCCCATACTAATTTTCAAATGGTTTTATTAAAAATATTTTGTAACCAATAGTACTCGTGGGTACTTTTTTCAACCTTATTTGATAATAGCTATTCTAAAGTTTTTTTTAATTATGTTTTCAAAAATATACTGGTTCATATATACAAAATACTTTTGCTAATTCTTTGAGAATTTCATATGGTGCAGGAACCAGGAAAGTAGTTAGAGACCATTTCAAGGGTGGGAGGAGGGGAGAAATAGAGACAACAATATGATGCAAGAGATATGATATGATATGGAAAAGGGGAAAAATGGGAAAATGGGTTGTCTCAGGGAGGGCAAGTGAAATAACTACTGAAGGAAGAGTGGGGAGAGTAAAGTTACTATAAAGAAGCTGGAAGAAGTCATTGGGCTCATAATACTAGCTATGTACCAAAATATCTGTAGTAAATATGTCAGTATATAGTTTAGATGAAATTTTTCTATCTAGGCTGATAATACTCCATCTAAGAGCCAAAGAGAGATTAATGAAATCCCACAAACTAGGCAAAAGTAGGGCACTGTTGCATTGTTTATAATTGTCTAAGAGACTTCCCCAAACATTACAGACTATCGTTATTGTCCTTGGTTGCTCCCAAGAGATGGAAGATGAATCCCTATTCATGAAGACACCATGGATTTCAGACACAGAACCCAGAGGTCCATGATATATGACTGACTTGAAAGTCTTCTCACTTAGTTTTCATAAATCAGAAGGTGACACGCAAAGTTCCCAAGACAGGAAACAATCGACCACAACATTGAAGAACGTGACATAACAACCTTAAAATGCAGTAGGGTGTAAGTACCCTGTTAGACTTTTTTTCAATTATATTTTTTTCTTTTATTGAAAATATTTTTATACTATATAGCCTACTTATGCTTTCCCTCCCTTTACTTCTTCCATGTGCTCCCTACATCCTGTATAATCAGAATTGACACTCATCCTCTCAATAGATACCAAAAAGGCATATATGGAATAATAGTATATAAAATAAGATAAAACAAAAACAAACAAATTGGAATAGAACAAAACAAAGAAATAACGACAACAAAAAATGGAGGAAGAGAGACCAATACTGTCACAAGAGAGAGATATAGACACAAAGACATAAAGTAAATAATTATGACGATAATGAAAATTAAATTAATTTTAAATTTAATTAAAAGGAGCAATCAAATAAAAGCTCTGGTAGAAAAATGAGTAGATAGAAAAAAGAAAGCATCTTCAAGAAGCAGTGCTGGTGAAACTGAATGGCTTCATTTAGTAGAATCCAAATAGATCCATACTTATGCCTTGTACAAAACTCAATTTGAAATGGATCAAAGATCCCAAATAAAACCAGATACACTGCATACAATAAAAAAGGGACAGGTCCTTGAACTCCATGGTACAGTAAAAGACTTTCTGAACAGGACACCACTAGCAGAGGTACTGAAACCAACTATTAATAAATGGTATTTCATGAAACTGAAAATCCCTGTAAGACAAAGGACACTGTCATTAAGACAAAGTGGCAGCCTACAAAATGAGAAAAGATTTTTACCTATTGTATATTTGATATAGAAATAATATCTGAAATATATAAAGAACTCAAGAAACTAAGTATCAAAAAGACAAATAATCCACTTTAAAATATGGTATGGATCATAGTAGAAAATTCATATTTAAAAACTCGAATGGCTGAGTGCTACTTAGAAATATGTTCAATATCCTTAGCCATCAAGAAAAGCAAAAACTAATTCTGATGATACATCCAATCTCCTTTACAATGATCAGATTCTCGTTACAGATCTTCCAAATTATGTTAAAATATTCAATTGATTCTAGAGGTGGACTTAAAGTGACAGGGACTACTATGGCAGTGGCTTTGTAACCTGGGGTAGACTCTGTGGGCCTAAGATATAGAGATAGGACCTAGTATGGGGGAAGGTGGAAGAAATGTATAAAATTCTTAGTGTGGATCTCATGCAGCCAGGACTGAAGTTGTGCAATATAAAAATTTTAAAAATACACTTTATTCCTAAACATCTTATGGACATAGTACCTACACAAACATGAAATAGAAGATATTTCAAAGCCAAAGTTGCTGATCTTTATCTACATTTAACAGGAATTTAGGCTGATAACCACAAAATATTTCTAAATTCGCCAATTATTAGATATAAATTAGAATGTCGGGTCATAGTGCCTACATCTTTTAATAGATTTTATTAATACATAGGCATATCCACAGATTCTTCCTAAAACACATATAAAAATATTCAATGTATATGGTGTGAATTTGTATGTGTGTGCATGTATGACTATAAGGTACAAAAGGTGGAGCTTCTATATCTGTAAGCCTTATCTAAGTATAATTCACTTTATTTTCATAGTAGGAGAGTGCTATACATTTCCACAGGATACTCTAAAATCTATTTAGGTAAAATCAAAGTCTAAAGGCAAAATGAATGATATTAATTTGACCACGAAAAAATTTGCTATTTCTTCTTCAGATGACTCCTACTACCATAGCCATTATACAATTTTCAACAGAAGAATCCTTTAATAGAGGCAGAATGGCTTTTACTGCTAGTCAAGATGGCTCAGTATAGTGGGGTATATTGGGAATATTCAGAGACCTAATGTCTTCAATAAATTTCTTAATTTCCCACAACTTCCAAAACATTGCCCAAATTTCACGTAAAAATTTCTTCACTTGCTCTGCATGTGTGTTATAATTCAATATTAGTCATATTTGGGTTTTATATCTGTTTGCCCAATACTTTATGCTGTTACAAAAGGAAGAAATATAGTGTTTTACAAAGTGTTCTTTGTTTAATAACTTAAGTGATTTTAAACTCAACATATTACGATAACTATCTTGCATCACAGTTTCTAACAGTGTCTATTATCAAAGCTCCATGATCTAGTAGCCATTTAAAACCAAGTAGCCTTCTTGAATAATTTAAAGAATATTCTACTACTTTGTATCATATATTTCTAATCTTTCTACAACTGATGCCAACCAAAAATTTTCTATAAACTCTGAGTTAGAAGTATATTCTAAGTTCTCATTTATTCCAGATTCTTTTTGCACAACTATTTATTGTATTGATCAGGAAATTATTCTCTGTTTCGGTTGTTGATTGTAAAATTCTCTCAAGCTATATTTTTTTTCAGAAAATTATAAGAATCTTACAAAATTCCTAGGATTTCCTTAGTATAATTTGATGACAAAGTTCAATTCTCCTAAGACGTGTATTTAATTTCAAAAAGGGTTAATTTTGCTACACAACAAATTAATTTAGTATTCAATTAAAAGGGATCCTGTCATCCCTTCTGTAGCCTCAGTATGTACCTTTATAATCATATGCCTTGAAAATTGGTAATGAATCTCTCTTAGTGTTCTTTAATGCCTTGACTGCTTAGACAAGGAATACATGCATAAGTATTTATTTCTTCTCCTATCTATTAACTAAAATTTTTCTTTGTTACAACTTGTTTATAAACAGAAAACTGCAGTAGCATTAGAACTGACTGACTACAAAAGAGGCTGAGAGCACAAAAATAGTCAGGAAACAACCACTTTAGATGAACTAAACACCTCTTTTCCAAGAGCCAATTTCCTTGAATGAGAGTTCAAAGTATAGTCATTTTGTTTCTTACACATAATGTAGCTGAGTGTTTAGTGGAACAAAGATAACATGAAGAAAGAGAAACATAAGTAGCATAAAGAAACACAGGCCTAGTCAGCGAACATCCACATAAATGCAAATGCTTGGGGTTTGAAATATTAACAAGGTAGAAATAGAAGCCATGAGTACATGAGTACATGTCACATTTTCCTCTTAAGAGAAGGAATACATGCTTTTTGAATAGCTGCAGTGCACATTTTATCATCTTTATTTATTAATTTTTGCATTCCAATCCCAGGTACCCCTCCCTCCTCCACTCCTGCTCCCTCCATATACCCAACACTGACTTCTCTTCTGTACCTCAGAGAGGATAAGGCCTCCCCTAGGAAGTCTATGAAGTCTGTCCCATCATCTCCTTGAAGCAGGACTCCTTGAAGCATGGGCTCCACTAAGTCAGTTTGTGCATTATAATATATATATATATATAGTTAGATCTTGGACCCACTGCCAGTGGCCTCATACATTGTCCCAGGTGCACCATTGTTACCTATATTAAGGGAGTCTAGTTCGGTCTTAGGCAAGTTTCCCATTTGTCAGACCACAGTCAGTGATCTCTCACTAGCTCGGTCAGCTGATTCTCAGGGTTTCCTCATCATGGTCTTGACTCCTTTGTTCATATTATTGCTCTTCTCTCACTTCAGTTGTACTAAAGGAGCTTGGCCAAAAGGGTAGGTGTAGATTTCTCCATCTGCTTCCATCTATTCCTGGAAAAGTGTTACAGCTTCCCTAGAAATGTGGATTGTAGGCTGGGTACCTTTTGCTTTAGGTCTGGTATCTACTTATGTGTGATTACATAATATATTTGTCTTTCTTGATCTGGATTACCACATTAAGGATGTTTTGGTTTTTTTTTTCTAGTTCTGTCCATTTGTCTGAAAATTTTAAAATTTCATTGTTTCTTGCTGTAACACACCATTGTGTAACTGTACCACATATTCTTTATCCATTATTTGGTTAAGTGGCATCTAGGTTGTTCCCAAGTTCTGTTTATTACAAATAATGTTGCTATGAATATAGTTGAGCAAATATTGTTCTGGCATGAATGTGCCCGATTGGGTATATGCCCAAATATGATATTGCATGGTCATGAGGTAGGATGAACCCTAATTTTCTGAGAAATCACCATACTGATTTACAAAGTGGCTGTACAAGTTTTTGCTACCACCAGCAATGGAGGAGTGTTCTCCTTTCTTCACATCCTCTCCTGCATAAGCTGTCATTGGTGTTTTTTATCTTAGCCATTTTGATAGGTTAAGATGGTATCTCAGAATGGTTTTGATTTGCATTTCCCTGATGACTAAGGATGCTGAACATTTTTTTAGGTGTATTTCCACCAATTGACATTGTTCTGCTGAGAATTCTTTTTAGATTTGTAGCACATTTGGTAGTTTTATGTCTAGTTACTAGAGTTCTTTGTATATTTTGGAAATCATCCCTCTGTTAGATGCGGGGTTGGGGGAGATCTTTTCCTATTCTGTAGGGAGAAATTTTGTCTTCCCGACACTGTTCTTTGTTTTACAGAAACTTCTCAGTTTCAGGAAGTCTTATTTATTAATTGTTGCTCTCAGTGTCTGTACTACTAGTGTTCTATTTAGGAAGTGGTCTACTATGCCTATGCTTGCAGGTGTATTTCCCACTTTCTCTTCTATGAGGTTTAATGTGGACAGATTTATATTGAGGTCTTTGTTCCATTTGGACTTGAATTTTGTGCATAGTGATAGATATGGATCTATTTGCATTCTTCTAAATGTTGACAGCCAGTTAGTTATACCAACACCATTTGCTGAAGATGTTTTCTTTTTCCATTTTATGTTTTTAGATTCTTTTTCAAAAATTAGATGTTCATAGGTGTATGATTTGATGTCAGGGTCTTCAATTCCATTCCATTGGTCTACCTGTCAGTTTTTATGCCAATACCATGTTGTTTTCATTACTGTAGCGCTATAGTAGCGCTTTTAGTCAGGGATGGTGATGTCCTCAGATGATCTTTTATTGTACAGGATTCATTTGGCTATCCTGTTTTTTTTCTATGAATTTGAATATTCAAAGTATGTGAAGAATTGTGCTGGATTTGGATAGGGTTTGTATTGAATCTGTAGATTGCCTTTGATACAACTGCCATCATTACTATGTTGATTCTATCTATCCAAGAGCATGGGAGATCTTTCCATTTTCTCATATTTTCTTTAATTTCTTTCTTTACAGATCAACTTTCTTGTCATACAGGTCCACTTGTTTGGCTACAGATACTCCAAGATATTTTATGTAATTTGTAGCTATTGTAAATGATGATGTTTCTCTGATTTCTTTCTCAGTCCATTTATCATCTGTATATAAAAGGACTACTGATTTATTTTTAGTTAATCTTGTTTCCTGCTACATTACTGAAGGTGTTCATTAGATGTAGAAATTCTCTGGTAGAATTTTTGAGGCCACTTATGTAAATGATCATATCATCAGCAAATAGCAAGAGTTTGACTTCTTTTGCACTTTGTATCCCCTTTATTTCCTTATGTTGCTCTATGTAGAATTTTGTGTACTATATTGAATAGATATGGAGAGAGTAGACAGGCTTGTCTTGTTCCTTATTTAGTTTGATCTTAAATATTGTTATCTCACCTGGGGTCACTCACTGCTACTTGGCCTGTCCCTCTGACACTGCTCAAGGGTCTGAGGCCCTTGGCTCCCTTGATGCTGCTCCTGGGACTGAGACTCAGGCCTTAATCTGATTCTACTCTGTGCCTGAAGCTTGAACCTCCTCTGATGCTGCCTTGGCTATTACTTTTAATGAACCATTTTTTCAGCTGTGTTCTTCTGATATACTACCTTATACTTAAATACTTAATACAAGGAATTGAAACAATAACTCTCTTAAACATTTTCATATTGTTTTGTGTTGCTATATCATTTAATCCACTTGAAACTTTTAGTAAAATTATTTTTGTGAAAGTTCATGAATTACATTTGTTTTATTTCTAATTTTGTGAATCAATAGAGCAGTGTTTCACAAATATAAAAATCACAAAATGTTGGTAGTAAGTGCTCAGTACAATATTTGTTCTATTTGCTTTCAAGCCTTGCTTTTCAAAATTCTGTTCTGTATCCAATTGTCTTGTTGGTACACATATATTTTCAATGCATTTCCATACTCAGCTGGTTTCTTTTTGTTTTAGACAATGAAGGACTCAGAGAATTATTGAAAGTCTCAAGAAAATGCTAAAATAATATTTTGATTTCAAAGAAAGTTTCTTAGATGCATAAATTTTACATAGAAAATAATTTTATGTGTAATTGTTTATTTAATTAAGGATTTCTGATATGCTCTAAATGTCTGTTCTAAATATTTCACTTTGGTAGTTCAGCCATATGTGTTTAAGCACATAGCTTGCCATCACTCTTCATGGAAAAGTCTGCCAGACATCCTACAGGACAGAGAGAAAAGTGACTCATAAACTGCCAATACAGGCAGACAGTTTAAAGCTTCCTGATTTGCTCAGGAGTCTGCCAGACTCCTTTGGCCTATGCGCCAAAGATGGAACATAACAAAAAAAAATTCAGGTGACTGACCAGGCAGTGAGTTGTCTCTGTCAATTCAAGAGTTTATATTTTATCCTTCTGTGGTCTTTGATGGAGTTATGATAAAAGATAAGTTACATATAAGACTTTAGACTGACAAAGATAGGATAGATGATGGAACATTTTCTTTAAATCTTGCTAAATGTTAATGGACTAAATATTGTAACTCTATTTACTTGATAAGTTTTGTTATATATAATTTGACTATGTTAAAGTTAAAAGTTTTTTTTTTATTTAGACAGAAAAGAGGAGATGATGGGAGATGTTATTCTGTATATATGTATCTCTTATTGATTGATGAATAAAACACTGCTAGCTAATAGGGAAGCAAGATAGGAGGGACTAAGAGACAAGGAGGGTTCTGGGAAATATAGTAAGGAAGAGTCACTATGTGATCCCAGGAAGAGAGGATGCATGAGTCTGGCATTCCAGGTAAGATAAGACCTTGTAGAAATATGTATTATTAGTAGTTATGGGTTAATACTTTAGACAGAGCTAGCCAATAAGAAGCCCTAGGCATTGGCCAACAGCATTATAACGAATTGAGTCTGTGATATTTGGGGCTGACATGGCACTGGGACCAGGCTATGCTCCATTGATATGAGACACAATTGCTCCTGACACCACCAAGCTATTCCTGAGAAAATGTTGGACACAAATGTCACTCATTCTGGAGTCTGTTCTCTCCTTGGATAATGGCCTCTAGGGCAAAGAACTGCTCCCACCTCAACCACTGACTTTGTACATGCTGTCCTACTGAGCTTGCAGGATATAAACTTAGAAGACTGCTGAACCTTTCCAAGTCAGGGTAAGATAGCCTTTCTATCTCCCTGCTTCTATGTTGCTTAGTCAGATACTCTAGGCATTAGGCAAAATTGGTTGCCCCTAAGCTTCTGTGAGACTTTTGGTGACTGTCCAGGTAGCCTGATGTTTCTGTCTTCACTATCCCTTTTGGAAGTTGCTTGCCTGCACTTCCTGCCTACCTTAGTATTGTTATCCTTCTCAGGTCTCTGATGAGGTTAAAGATTAGAATGTCACAATTATCGTTCCCTCTTCCTAGATAGAAATGTTAGATACAAGACTTAAACTTTACAGCTTATGATAACTCTATAGTAATCTCTGTTATTCCTTTATCCTAGGACTGGACATGTAGTTCTTGCCATTTGCTCTTCTTGCTTCACTGGTGATAGGTCTTAAGTATGTTTGTTCTTACTTTTCCTTCTCCTAGAGCATACTTGATATTTGCTATGTTTTTATATAGTTTTTGTATCAAGCCTAAATCTTCTTCTTTAGACTAAAAGGGGAATTGTAGTGAGATATCCACCGTGAACACATCTGTATCTCTGACCACGCCCATTTGGTGTGGTCACAGGTGTGGATGTGATGGAGGGCCAGACTAGATCTGGGGTCTTCACTCCAGTGCTCTCTCTTGCTTCTGGGAAGATCACAGAAGAACAACCTCTGGGGAATCTTAGAGCGAGAACCTGTGGCAGCCATCTGTTTTTTTCAGCAAGTGACTTCTTCCCGAAATAAATTATATTTAATATTAATACCTAATCCCAGGTATTATTATCCATTCCTCCACAGCTAATAGTTCCTCAACTTATTTTCAAAATCATATTGAAGAATATTTTATATGGTTTCTACCGGCACAAATAATAAATAAAACTCAAAGTAGAAGGAAATTTCATTGTTTATTTTTTGCCTCTCCATGCACTTTTTTTTTCTTTGCTAAAGTTTCAAGATTTCTTTCTACTTTCATAATCTTTCTCCTAAGGTAACATCATTTCTGTATTATTTTGGTTAAGTATGTCACTCATTCATTTTCTTCTTTTTCACAAATGTCTCAAATTGTCTTCATTTCTAAGTATATTCTGATGTAAACAGTATTGTAGTGTGGAAGTCAATTGAAATTATTAAATTGATATGATCTATAATCATCCAAAGGATGAGCTTCTGGGCATGACTGTGGGAGACTGTCTTGATTAAGTCACATGAGCTGGGTAACACCATTGCCTGGGCTGATATCCTAGAATGTACTAAGAGAAGATTGCTAATTGAGTACACATATTTAAAATTTTCTATATTGATTTAGTACTATTCCAAGTTGCTTCAGGCTCCAGTTGCCTTGGCATCACCACAATGATGGACTATATCTTGGACTTCCAGTCTCAATAAATCTTTCTTCCTCTAGTTGTTTTTGTCAGACTTTGCTTTTTTCCTTTGTTTACCCACAGCTAAGGTAGAAAGAAATGGATAATACTAAAAGCCACTGGAAGATCAGAGTGTTTGCCTGTGAGAATATATTTCCTAGTCATGACAGAGACAGAGAGTGCAGCCACAAATTCTCACCAACATGAATACCCAAACATGAGCTGAACAAAAAAGATACCAATGGACAAGCCATACTGGATGGGGTCAAGGTTACTAAGCCACAATCCTACACAGAGGTAACTAAGCAAAGTTGAGAACAGGAGAGGTGATCCTCCCCTGGGAAGTGTATTAATTGATTATCCAGGGCCAAATGCTTATCCCTGAAAAAATACATGCAAGTAACATTATTTGGACTCAAAAATATGAAGGCCCAATTACTACTACCAGGTAACCACCCTTCTTGTGACTTACTATGGTATCCTGAACAATACTGAAAATCTAACTGACAAATGAGCTTGCTCTGAAACTGCATCAGTGAATGAGAAGAAGGAAAAATTCTTGGGTGTAGGAACAGAAATTCCCTTTTGCATTTTGGTGTCCCTTTGGACATTGTGCTATGAAAACAGCAGTTCTTCCATCTATCTGGACAAGATGAGAATATTTGTTCTCTCACCCCACCTTTTGGGCCACTTGTGTGGCTCCCTGCTTGTCAAAAGCAAAGTTATTGGAATAAATGAGGGCAAAATAAGGGGTTTTTCTAGGTTGGTGATATATGATGAAATAGACTTTAAAGTCTACTCCTTTTCTGTGCTTTATTTAAAGATAAGAGACATTCTTGGAGATAGCATATTGATGTGCTCCTCATGCTATTTCTGAATTGTAAACTCTTTCAGTATTCAATCTGGGAGTATAAAATAAAAAGAAAATCCTGGAGATTCATCACTGATAAATTTATCATAATGAAAGTTTCTAGCTGGTCTGCCTTTCTCTTTAGCTTTCAAACTACTATTCCATTTATTTAGTTAGAATGACAAAGGATTTCTGTGGTGCTTTGCAAAAGAACTGTGGGCAATTATTTCTTGTCAGTCCTCTTTAAATATTAGGTAATTTACTTTTTTATTTTCTTACCTCTAATATGTCAAAATGACACCAGGGAAATATATTAAATAAATTAATACTATTTTATTAATCATAATTACTGAAAGATATTTAACCAGTACAACTGTATTTGTAATTTTTATTGTTTCTCTTATGCATTCCAAATTGAAAAAAAAAACAACCAAACAGATATGAGTTTAAATGACTTGTCTGTAAGTCCATATTAGCACGGTGTTATATGAAGGGTTTGGAATTGGAAGATTTGGCTCAAAATTGCTGTTGTGGTACAAAAACAAACTTTTCCTGGGCATATACAACATACATGTCTACTCACACAGATGGGGAACACACAACAGAAAAAAGTATGGACACTACTAATGCACAGTTTGGTGAAGTTATTTTTTTTATTTGGGTTACTTACAGGTATATTAGTAACGGCTTAATTAAAGGAGAAGAAATGACTTAAAGACAATGCATCACCAAACTTCACCAAGCACAGGGGACAGGTCACAAAGCTGGGAATCTGGAGAACATTTCACAGCCACAAGCTGATCAGCAACTTGGAATGTGTCCTTTTCAAATGCCTCACCTGGTCTAATCTCCTTCAAGGTATCTTTGCTGGCTTCTTTTACATCCAGGCAGATGGTCTGGTCTCTAGGAGATCTGGTCAGCTTTAGGGGCTTCCTGAAGCCATTTTCAGTTGGTTGCATCACTGTTTACAGAGCTTCCTTGCAGGATGGAAGGTTCAATCACAGATGAAGAACTCAGATTTTTTCTAATACCTTCTATATAGCCTTTCTCACAATGAGATGGACTATTGAGGTAGCACTGGTCAATTTAGGCACATTTAAGTAAAGAATAACAAATACTTGGAAATCAAGCAAACAAACAAAAAAACATATTTTGTACACAAACATCTTGTATAGCTGTTGCCATGATTGGATCAAGAAGTTCTTATTCTTTATCTTTGAGTCAACTATATATTCTGGTAAAATTTCTTAAAGATTTTTCCTGTTATTTTTTGCCCTGTGCTTAATTTTCTTCTTCATTTTGTCAGTGAATTTATTTATCATATATTACATTAAAATCCTATCAAAGTTTTTGGTGTAAACTGTTTTAAATGAAATATTATTGTATTATATACTGTTTTTATTGCTTTTATTTTAAAAACCAAAAAACAGAAGACCTTGGAAGTTTGGAAGATCACTTTGAGTTTCAGTCTCATGAAATATTTTTATTGCAGCCATTTATTTATGGAGCCAGTGCATATTATTCCAGTAATTCATATTGTTATTGCACACTATTATTTGTAAGAAAAGCCGCACAATAGCCTTGGATGATCATTTTATGTTACTTTCTTTGTATGAATTTTAAACTGACATTATATTGCTTTGTTTTTATTTGGATTGTTGTTGCTTTTTCTTAAAAATTATACTTAGAGAAACATTAACATTTCCATACAGATACGCAAATAGCAATATTGGATCTAACTAAGAATTTATGTACTGCCACTGTGTTGAATTTTGGGTCAAAGAAGCTATATTATGCAAAATAAGCTGACTAAGTCTAGCTTTCTTTTAATATTATTTCTTACATGAAATGAAATAAATTTTGGTGTGTTTTTAGGTTACTTTAGGAACCATTTCTCTCTCTCTCTCTCATATATATATATATATATATATATATATATGATCTTTAAGTATACTCTTGGTTAGTATTCTATTGATATGAAGAGACACTATGCCCACAGCATATTGTGTGATATTTTGTTTGTGTTCTGACAAATGAATCTTGCTTGGAGATCAGAGGGTGGAGATAACCACTAGTTAAACATAGAGGTCTGTAGGTCTGTACAGACAGGAGACAGGAAGTGATAAGACTGGGCCGAAAGAAGAAATAAGATGGGGTGGAGATAGGATCTGGGCCCTGTTTGCCAAAGAACTTGGGGAGATAAGGAGTGACTGTGTCTGCTTCTCTTATTCTCTGATCTTTCAGCATTTACCTCAATATCTGACAGAGTTTTTATTGTTAAGACTAATTAGGATCATGTGTCAACAGCAACTCTTGTAAAAGAAAGCATTTAATTGGGACTTGATTGCAGTTTCAGAGGTTCACTCCATTATCATCCTGGTGTGGAGCATGGCAGCATACAGAAAGATATGGTCCTAGAGAAGTAGCAGGTAGGTCCACTGCTACTTCTGCATCCAGGTCTGCAGGCAGAAGGAAGAGAAATCTACTGGGTTGGCTTGAACTTTTGAAACCTCAACACATACCCCCCACCATGACAGGCTTCATCTAAAGCAATATCTTTTCATCCTTCGTAATTCATGCTACTCCAGGATGACTAAGAATTCAGATATATGAGAATATGGGGGCCATTCTACATATGCCTTTAGGTAATATGTATTAATGGGCATGGGTATAAAGAAATAATAGTGTGATTGCACGTATATGGATGCTACAATTATAATAATGTTAATGTATTGTAGTAAATCTACACACATAATCACGTTCATATACACATACATATATACATACAACTCTAAAGTGTAGTGTAAACAATTAATAGCTTTCCATGAAAAAAATACACAAAATCACATATAACTATATAAAAGAAAAGATCAGTTTCTTTTTCAACATCAATATGCCTAAAGATAAATCAGAAGAAAATGCCCTAAATCTTCTCAAGACTGCATGTGTGCTAAGAAATAAGGAACAATAAGACTTCAACATTTTCCTCAATCTTTTCTTTTATGTTTATTTATTATTAATGTATTATGTTTATTGAAAACACTTTGAGCTCTGTCTGTGAATCCTTTGATAAGAACACTGGACAGTGGTAATAGGCCTTCAAATATGTTGGTACAAGAGGTAGGAAAAGTTTTTAAGTCTTTCTAGTTTTTTCAGCATTAGGAGAATGTTTCTGTCAGAAAAATTGAGGGTAAACATTCAATTTTGCTTTTCTTCTTCATGAAAGCAGAATGATTCTGGGAACAAACAGGGCTATGTTATATTTGAACATACCAGGGTAGATGGACACGAGCCAAAAGAAAACAGGAGATTGCCATTTGTTTACTATAAAAAATATATATCCTGTTGGGAAATTGTGGTGTACGGCTGCAATTCAAGTCTCTAAGTTGATTAGGTACGATGATTTTGAGTTTGAGTCCAGTACATACTGAGTTCCAGAATATATGGGGTACATGGTGAGACTGTCCCCCAAACCCCCAAGAAAAAAACAAGACAAAACAAAAACTCCTCTCATCACCATGGATTTTTCTCTTGTATCTGACAGGTCCACTTGCTTTTATGTATATTTTAAATTCATAGTTGAATATGCATATATTCATAAAAATAAGCATAACTACATAAGATTATTTGTTATCGATAAATAATGACAAAAGAGTCTGTTGTATATTAGCTGAATTCATAGCAATATGTGAAGTTGCTAAATAGGCTAGCTTCTATGGAAAACAGACAGGAGTAGACAGAATGAAAATGCATTAAACCTTTTTGAATCATCTTGTTGTAAAACATATTCTGGCATGCAGCAATCAAGTAGCTACTCATACCTAGATAGGCAACAAATGATAGACCAAAAACATAGTCAGTTAACGCATTTATTGAGGTAACTTATTGGAATAGAGTTGGATTACTTACAAGAACAGGAACGACGCAGCAGTAGCTGCATAACCAAATCAGTGGTTTCTTCTATAAGTCCCATATCTAGCCCTATCTGCATAACTTGCATGAAACATGCAGAGTTGGAGAGTCTTCCCTAACCAGCAACTTTATGCTGCTTGTACGACCTTGAAAGAGGTGTGGGGTCTCTGAATTCTGTGTTTCAGTAGCTTCTCAAGAAATATGTGCTTTGTTTACTTGCAATATCTTATCAGTTGTAATTGGTTTCTCTGGATAGAAGGCTTTAATTCAGATGACACTGTGACACAGAATAGCTGCATATTATATATTTATGATATAGTTAGTCATACGATTAAACATACAAGTCTCAAATGATCAGTAAATCTTCAAAAGTTCTAACTAATGAACTTGTGAGTATCCAGTCAGACTTCATATCTTCATATCTGCTGATAACATAAGACCTATATCACAGATATGTTGTATGATATTGACCCTAGAATTTCTGTATGCAGTTGTGGAGATTTTTGGATCTCCATGTCTATGCAGATTTATGCTAGTAGCCCTGCTGTTCAAATCAATGAATTTTCTTTTTAAAAGATAGCATCATTGTAAAACATTGATGCAACTAAGAAAGAAATAGGACAGGCATTGGTACTGTGTACCCAAAATTGAGGTGATTTGGTCCTTCTATCTTTCCTGCATATTGTCTTAAAGATGTTAATTTATATTAGCATTTTTTGTTTCTCAGTGTGCTTTAACTGTGTTTTGTTAATATCTATGATCATCATTTGAATCTGTTTATAAGCCTTACTATTCTATGGACTCTGTAACACTGTGCATTAGAGAGTATGTGGAAGTTCTTGGACCAAGATTATCCCACAAGGCCACAAACACCAGACAAAGTGGTTCCAAGGCAATCATTAATGTCAGGGAAAATGAGTGGTGTAAAGATGTAGCAAAAGAAAGTCATGTTTAAATAATGATTTATAATCTTTCAGGAAATTTGCATCTAGCTATTAGAACATCAGAAAGAAAATGGGAGGATGTTAACAAGAAATTAGTGTGAACTGATGGCTTGTAGTAATTTTCCATACTTATTATAGAACTGGCATTTTAATTTATGTTTTTAAATAATTTCTACTTAATTTTCCCATATAAATATGAAAGAAAATTACTATCTTGATTTTGTAGACAAGCATATAAGTAGTCACTATACAAGGATTGCTACTAATCTAAAAATTTTTAATAAAGATATAGGGAAATGTCCAGAGATCCCAAGTAAGATCTAAGCAATAGTGGAAGGGCTATATTAAATGCCTTTCCCCTATAATGAGATTGATGACTACCTTAAATGCCATCCTAGAGCCTTCATCCAGTAGCTGATGAAAGCAGATGCTGAGATTCACAGCTAAGCACAGAGCTGAACTCCTGGATTCCAGTAATAGAGAGGGAGGGAGTGATAAGCAGAGGGGTCATGAACATGCTGGGGAAACCCACAGAAACGGCTGACTTGAGCAAGTGGAAGTTCATGGACCTCAGTCTAACAGCTGTGGAAACAGCATAGAACTGAACCAGACCTCCTGAACTTGGCTGGTAGCTGGAGGGCCTGGGCAGTCTACTGTCCTCTAGCAGTAGAACCAGTATTTATCCCTAGTACACAAATGGACTTTGGGAGCCCATTTCCCATGAAGAGATATTCTCTCAGTATAGATACAAGGAGGAGGGCCTAGGCCCTGTCCCAAATGATGTAACAGACTTTGAGGATCCCCCATAGAAGGTCTCACCATCCCTGGGTAGTTAATGGGATGTATGGTGGGGGTCATGGGAGGATGGGAGAGAGAGGGAACTGGGATTGATATGTAAAATAAGATCATTTCTAAATTAAATAAAATTTTATAAAAATGATGTATTTTTACTTTATGTGTACATGTATAGAGAGGGTGGGTGGGTATATATGTGAATATGGGTACAACTGTCCATGGGGGCAGAGCTATCAAATCCCCTTAAACATAAGCTGTCAAAACTGGGCACTACAATACACAGGGTAGGATCTAGGTCCTGCCAAAAATTATGTGACAGACTTTGATGATCCCCAAGACAGGCCTCACCCTCCTTGGGGAGTGGATGGGGAGTGGGATGGGGAGTTTGGTGGGGGTCAGGGGAAGACATGAAGGAGAGAGAACTGGGATTGGTATGCGAAATAATATTGTTTTTAATTTAAATCAAAATTTATTTTTAAAAAAATCTGGGCACTGCAAACTGAACCCAGATACTTAGTAAGAGAAATATGCACTGTTAATCACTAACCCCTCCACTCCCCAATTTTCATTTTTTTTTTGTTGCTAGGTGTGTTTCTTTTTATTTTATTCTTACTGTTTTTTTTCTTTCATTGAAAGTAATTTTGCAATTTTAATATGTTTGATTAAGAGCATTTACAGAAAAAAATTACTAGTTGTCTTTGAATTAGTCAGATAGCAAAAGAAAGTAGATAAGTTTATTGAATTCATAGAGCTCATTGTTTAAATCATTTGAGAGTTTTAAGTGTGTGTCTATTTGTGTTTGTGTGTGTTTGTGTATACATGTGCAGTCGACACAGACATAGTGGATTTATAGACAATATTTGAAATTTTAAATTATGATCAAAACAGTTTACATCCTTAAGTGTAGAACTTACAAAATCATGCATTTATAATTCCTATTAGTTGGGAATGGGTTTCAATATTGAAAGTGTTTGAAATAAAGGAACTTTTATATGTGTGATAATAGCAGTTTAAAAGGAAATTCATGTTTACTTCACAATAAGAAACTTTAAAGTCACTAAATATCTTTTAAGGAATTTTTATTAGCCACTTAAAAAATTCAGGTTATAGCTGGGTGTTGGTGACACACGCCTTTAATCCCAGCACTCGGGAGGCAGAAGCAGGCAGATCTCTGTGAATTCAAGGCCAGCCTGGTCTCCAGAGCAAGTGACAGGATAGGCTCCACAGCTACAGAGATAAACACTGTCTCAAAAAGCAAAACAAAACAAAACAAAATTCAGGTTATAGTTAGTTCAAAGTATGCTATTCTGGTTCATTTAACACACTATAAACTTGGAACACTGATGAACAAGAGCTGGCTATTTGGGTAGTAAAATTATAGAAGGAGTGTTTGGACGTTTACTTATTGTGCTGAGGGATTAAGGCAATTACAGAATAATGCAGGCTGCAACTTCTATTGAAGAAGATTTTTAAGACACTTATTCAGATGACGCATCTAAAATGGGTAACTGCTCTGACTAATTATTACTCAAGACTATTTAATTTATTTAAATGACTGAATCATGGAAAAGTTCATGTAGAAGTTTCGATTACAGGTAATTACTGAAAGACAAAAATAATGTTCATTGGCAGTAAGGCATAGTTTGAAATGAGAAACAAAATGAGAACAATAAAACGTGAACCATGAAATCTTTCAAGGTTAATGATAATTCAGCTTTAGGAACTGTATATTCAGGCATGGTTGGCTCTTTGTATTACTAAGGAAGGAGAAGTTTATCACTGGAGAATGTAGTCTTTAGTAAGCATTTTTTGTTTTAGTTTATGGAGAAATCCTCCCCATGATTTCTTCATCTATCTCCAATTGCTGTTATTCTAGAAAAATTCTACCAGATTTCTCTGCAGTAAGGAAGTTGATCAGAGTCTCATCAAAGAGCATTTACTCTGTAAACAGAAAGTGTTACAGGGAGCCACAAGAGATGACCATTAAAATAAACGTGGCTGGGACTACATTCAGGTATTTGGGTCCTCTGTGTAGCCCTAAACATTCAGACCAAGAGGTTCTTAAACAATTAAAAAAAACATACAAAACAAAACAAACACTCCCCTACATCCTTGTATCTTGTTCTGTAACTGCATCAGGAGGTTTGCACAAACATGCAGTTTAATACAATCTATGACTAGGTAGGGAGGATTCTGCACTAGGGGCTACTTTTCTAAATCACTAGAATAATGTTGGGTAATTTGTTCATGAGATTCTCTTTCAAGGAGATCAAATTCTAGTTAAAGTGAAAATGGCCTCAGCAAGAATTCTAGATGCAGGAACTTCTTGCCCTGTCAAAAAGTACTTCTTTTCCTTTTCATCTTTTACAAATTTGTTTCATTTTTATTAATTTATGTCCTGATATGTGTATATGGACAAGTATTTCTGCAGATCCAAAGAGAGCATTAAGTCATTTGGAGCTGGAATCCCAGATAGTTGAGAAACACTCAACCACGGTGCTGCGAGCAGCATGTACAGTTAACCTCTGAAGGACATCTCCGGACCCAGTGATTTTCATCAGTTGTACTGTATAGTAAAGAAGAAACTTCTTCATTTTTCTTTCATCTGTTCTTGTGTTTAGGAAGAGGAAGGCAGCAGTATAGTTTGAAATGTACAGCTAAAATTTTGAGATTGAAAATTAAACTTTTCTGGGAAGGATGACCATATTTCCTAAACAACCCAAAAGAGTTGAGTTTACACCCATTGTTCTGACATAATCATTAAAAAAAGTTTTTGTTTGCTTGATAAATTAATTATATAACTAGCTAATTACAGAAACACATGTTTTGTTTTACACCTAAATTTCATGGGGCACAGAAACAAAAATTTTAAACATATTTTTTTTTCATAGTGTTGCAGGGTGGAAACCCGAAGTCCAAACAACCAATGTTCAAATACGTAATATGCATTAAGCTACTAGAGACTGCCTGGAAAGAAACACATCTCACAGAGCAGTCCTGAATGGATTCTACACACAGCTTTTGAAGACAATAATCACAGAAATACTGCCTCCTTTTTGCCAGTTACAGAAGGAAGTAAAGAAAGCAAACAGTTTAACAGAACCCGAAAACATACTCTTAGCTGGTTTTGTACTTTCCAATGAGAATTTTCATGTAAGTTTCAGGTTAAAGTAAAGATGGCTCCATGAGAAAAAAGATAGAAGAGACTGAGTTCCCTACACAAAATATTTAAAGATATAATCAAGCTGGGCATTGTAGTGCATGTCTTTAATCCTATTCCTAGGGAGGCAAAGGTAGGTAGATCTCTGAGTTTGAGGACAGCCTGGCCTACAAAGAGAGTTCCATGATAGCCAGGGATGTTACAAAGAAAAAAATTATAATTGGTTTTGCAAAACACACACACACACACACACAAACACTTCTACCTTATATTTTAATCCCAGATAGAAGGACTTTACTACAAAAATAACCTTTTTAATTTCTTAGTCCAAAAAAGAAGACTAGATCATTCATTTCAATGTAATTTTATTTTGGATTTATATATTTAAGCTTCTTTTTATTTAAATTATAGCCTTCTGTAGCATTGTATTTTACATACAATAAAAGTTCTAGCTGCAATGCCAAAACCAAATCTCCAAATTTTAGGGTTTTAACTTAAAATAGGTTTATCTTTGATTGAAGAGAATTCTGAAACAAGATGGGAAACACTTCAGGAGATCTCCTTAAACATGACAATTCAAGACTCTTGTTTGCTTCTATTTTGCACTCTAGTCTTGAAGGAATACACCCAGGGTTCAGAAGAGCAGAGAGAAAACTTGGAACACTATATGGAGAGAGTCCTTTTATTGTTACAATTCAGAAACGACACCAGTTTCTTCTATTCAAGAACTTCGTTTCAAAACCAATCACAATCATTCCCAAAAACAGATCTTTTTCACCTTAATACTGTGGCAGAAAACACCTATTTTCATTCACTGTAGCTAATTTAAAAGTCCAGAATCTCAGGTTGCACTCAGTGACCACTGTACTGTGGTATGAATGAGAATTGCTCTCCATAGTTTGTCCCTTTGAATGACTGGTTCCCATTTGGTGGTGGTGTTTGGGAATGAGGGAGATTAGAAGGTGTGGCTTTGCAGGAAGAGGCAAATCACTGTGGATGGGAATTCAGAGTTTAACTGAATGCACCATTTTGAATACTCTGTTTTTGTTTCCTCTGGGGGGGGTAAAAATTTTAACTTCCAGCTGTGCCAGCCTCTATTACTAGAGATTGCTGCAATATTTTCCTGCTGTCACGGATGCACCTATTCCTGTGGAACTCTAACCCCATCTCCCCTAAACTTTTTCTTCTGTATGTTTCCTTGTTCATTGTGTTTTATAGCAATGATAGAAATGTAACTAACACAACTAGTTTCTACTGTCAGGGAGGTTCCCCTTTTCCCATTTTCAATGTGATCCTGGGACCCAATCTCAGGAAAACACACCACCATTTTCTACTATTTCCTGTGACAACCGCAATGGATTTTCGTAAACTACATTGTTCTAGATTTGCTCTTTATTGTTCCTTATTTCTTGATCTTATGGGAAAAACCTGATTGAACACTTGGAATAGTAAAACAATAGGATAGTGTTGCCTCTAATTTTCATTGTTTTGTTACTATTTAGATATTTAAATAAGTTTAAAGCTATGCATCCAAGCTCCCTTATTTCATTTACTCTGCCTTGAGTGTGATAGAAATATTGTTGGGGGAGACCTATTTGTATTGACTGCTACTAGATCAATAGAATCCAACCGCAGTTCAGAAGAAGAGTCCACATTAAGGTGTCTGGGGTGAACAGAAGAGCTTCCTGGCTGACTCAGGGAGATACAAGGATGCAGAGGCAGAAGAGGAGGGGCCAAGGGGTTGCACTCTCCTTTCGATCCAGGAAGTGGAGAAGAGCAGGATCATGTCTTAAATACCTCTGTGGATCTCTCAGGTTTATTCACTAATATTTATCTGTGAGTTTTATTTTAAAAAAAAAAAACTATGAAAGAAATCATAATATCGTTAACCTATGTTGTGGTGACATCACAAACCAAAGAGTGACTTTTGAGGCCTCCACTACCCTGTATGACCTTCTGTCACCATGGGTCACCAGCTTTTTACACCAAAGTCTTTTCCTGTTTAGATCTCCACAGCCACCAGCTGGCTCTGTAGCCACCCCAATCAGCTGCTGGTTGCTGGCAAGATTATTCAGATGACATGGTGCCCCTGACCCGGATTCATCATCCTAGCCAAGCAGACTTTTCCTGCACATTTTCCCCTCAGGCCTACTTTTCAGGCTGCTCTGTCCTGGGGAGAGCAGAACAATCCAGCCACTCCTCTTCCAGGACAGTCCTACATGGATATCACAAGTGCCAGGCTGAGCAGAACTAGTCCAGGTGGAAGATCACTCCCACAGCGGCCAACATGGCCCCACCTGCCATGGTCCCCAATTGGGGCTTGGGCTTTAACTGCTGCTGTGATGGCCAAAGGCTGACAAAGAGACTGTCCTTCCACACCAACGCTGAGCAACCACAGCTAGCCTCTGCTAGCATAGTTGGGGCAGTCCTGTCCCACAGTGCTGCACCTATCTGGGTGGTTTTCTCTTACCACTTTCAGTGCATTAGCTGTTCAGGAAGCTCACACTAACTCCATGCATGGTGCAGTGCATTAGCTTGGCTGGCTAAGCCTCCCTCCCATGGCTCTTCCCACTACCAACAATCCTTCCACCCAGTCCCAGAGCTCATTTGTGCTGGTCCCCCAGTTCCCAGGTGCAGAACCAGAACTGTTGGCTACCCTTGTGCTTGACTGCCTTATTAAAGTTCCCCTCCTGCCTTTTCAGCACCCACCCTCCCTGCTGGCACAGTCCAATAATATCACTGCAGCTGATTACCCACACACAGCTCCACCCATGCTGCCAGCATCATCAGGGCTAGTAAGATACTTCGGAATTTTCAAATGGGGAATTAGGTTTTTATTTTTATTTTTTATAAAAAGGAGGAAAATCTTTTCTGAGATATCACAATGCAAGGAGTTAAGGCCCTGTTTAGTGCTACTACAAAGGGCTTCCAAATGAAACAAAAAAAAGTGAGGTGATGAGGAAGTTAGCTGGGATTGACATAAACTAGATCATAATTATCGGTTTTGTAATTCTTATTTTATCCTTAAAGAAGTGGGTTGGTAACTGTGGCAAGTATCATAATTTGACTGCTAAGATACAAGCCTCAGAAGGACTTATTACTGATAAGATACAAACCCTATAAAGACCCACTAGTGAAAATAAAATATGCAGACAGGCAGGATTTTAGAGCAGAATCTATCACACAATTGCATTATGAAGTTGAAGAAGAGAGACCCAAGGTTACTAAAAAACCAACCTTAATTTATCCAGTTACTATACAAGAATGACCGCCAGATGACAGGCATCCCCAAACCTATGAAGAAGCTAGCGGGAATTCTGTCAAAATGTTAAATTTGAGTAGATTTAAGGAAACAATAGCTTCATATGATTTGCCCTCGACTTCTTTGAAGTAGTTGTTAAATTCATGGGAGATTAAGAATTATTCCACAAGACTGAAGAGATTTAGTTACAGAAATATTGGAAGCAGTTCCTCAGTTACAATGGAAAATATGGTGGAGAGAGGAGAGTGGGGTTATAAAAAACTTAGTAGGGTCAGGTATTGAAATTTCCCAAGACCAGCTTTTCAGTGTAGGCCAGTATGCTGATTAGCAAAGGCAGTCTGTATTTGAAGACGACACCTTGTCTTAATGTTGTACAGTAGCTTTGAATTCTTGAGACATGGTTAAAAATCAGGAAAGAAGACTGGGACATTTACTAAAATTATACAAGGCTCAAAAGAAGCTTACATCGATTTTTTTTTTTGCAAAGATTGACTTGAGGTGTAAATAGAATGATATCAGATCCAGAAGTTAGATAATTATTAAATGAATCTTTAGCTTTTGAAAATGCTAATTCCAAATTTGAGAAGGTGGTCAGCACCCATAGATGAATGGATTAAAAACAGAGTTGGTATTGGATCTCATATTCATGATAATGGGAGAGGTAATTTCCAAAAACTTTAATAAAAATCAGAAGGTCAGATGTTTTAATTGTGGTAAGCAAGGCTATCTAAAAAAGGATCATAGAGAAGGAATTTCTAGAAACAATGTTTATTTTCTAGAGAAACACAAACAGTACAACCAGAAGGCCCCAGCTTCTGGAATATGCAAATGCTTCAAACGGGAACCGTTAATCTAATAAATTCAGAACAAGGGACAGACAAGATAACTCTTTAAAACTTTTTTTAAGGAGTAAATATTACTTCAAATTTGAAAAGATTACTATATATATATAATACATTTAATTATTATTAATTATTATTTAATATAATTATTTAACAACAATTATTATATATTAATTATAAATATATATAATACATTTAAACTTTCTGTTGTAATATTAATGGTCATATAGAGTACTAACTACTTCTACATTTGGGCTTCGTTTTGAATCCTGTGTGTGATTTCAGGCTTAAATCTGAAGCAGGTAATTAGGAAGCAAGGTTTTGCCTTGTGTATTTAATAGGTTATGGTCCTTTAACCTCACTGTATACACTGCATCGAACATTTAAAATGTCTTACATTTTCTGCAATTATTTATGACCATTCCTAACAGCAACTGTGGAAATCTCCAAGAAAATGATGGGGCCCCCCAATCACAATTTCACCTGGTTTGTTGTAGTGCCACTAAACTGACAAACACCATCCAAATATAACTTTGGACTACAAACTGCTCAGGACAATTTCATTCAGTGCAGTTAGCTAAGATGGTCCAGCCTCATATACTACTCCAGAGAGTACTTCAGATAAGCCTTCCATTTTCCTATCACACCTAATCTAGACAACAACTAGTTCCCTTGGACTTAACCATTATCTTAATTTTCTCAGGGCCCCCTAAAGATGCATCACTCCAAGATATCAGGAAGTGATTTTAAGATCATAATGGCCACATTCCCAAGTGTGAGTTGAATGTTTTTTAGTTGGTGGGTGGTCTATGGAAGGTTATGATCATTGAAGGTGGCAGTTACAAGTTGTTATTGCTCATGGTCACAGAGAAATATTAGCAAGGAAGGCTAGATACAGGGATCTCTTTCTGAAAAGGGAAAATGGAATATATGAATGATAGGATAAAAAGGCAAATAATTGTATCTACTTTAAACTAAAAATTAACTGTTAACCTCAAATATTTTACATTTGTATGGATTTTTGAATATGGATACAAATTTAAGGTTTTTTTTAGAATTTACTCTATATATGGATCAACTTATTTAAGATACTTTTGTATATTGATAAATACTTAAGGTTATTTTTGTTATACTGTATATATGCTTCTACTCTTGTTTAAGATATTTTTGTATGTTGATACAATTTTAAGGATATTTTTGTTGTACTGTATTATATGTTTCTATTTCTTGTTTAAGGTATTATACCTATGCAGCTATTTAAAAAAATGTTATGTAAAGTTCCAGTCCTTAAATACAGATAATAAAGAAACTAGTAGTTAGTCATCTACAGTAGTCAAACTTATAGTCACAGTAGGTACATTTACAAGGTCAATCAGAAACATGTTTTAAGTAGATAGATGGTCTCTAAACATTTCAGAGACCTGGCATTTTAATATTTTAATAACATAGGCTTTTCATGATAGTGAGATATATTTGTTCCTTGTAGAAATAATTTACTCCCAAAGAGGATGATGGGCATCAGACAAAATCCTTATGAAATTTGCTTTCATTTGTGGCAAAAGTAGCCAATGGGCCCTTGCCTTGACTGCTAACACTATGATGCTGTCCAAATTGGGCAAGCAGGACACAAAACAAGGTACTTGACAAATAAAGTTTGGGAGAGTCCTTCAAAATTCCAGTTTCACAGAAAAGTCTTTTAGATATTCTAGGCATGCAGGCCAAAGATGTATGTTCCAACATTGCACAGGAAACTTGAGTGGCTGTCCAGGCAGCCAGCTGTTTCTGTCATTGCTCAAAGTTTTGGAAGTTGCTTGCTCTGCAATTTCTGTTTATTAAGGCAATAATATATCCTTCTTGGGTCTTTCATGGGGCTGAAGACTAGATAGTTATAGTTACAGTTTTCCTTAGTCCTGATTTAAAAAAAAAAAAAGTAAATTACGCCCAAAACTTTGGCTTTCTCAGGAGAGGTATTTTCTCTGAATTTGCCAAATGCAAATGGACTCGATATTGTGAATGTAATTCTCACTAGATAATTGTTTTTATTGTATATATTTCACTTGTTAAAGGTACTGCATTTCCTTTCTACTTAGACAATACCTGGTAATTGTTCTTATTTTATATTTTTTACAAAATTAATACCATTCCTTTTTATTTATACAAAAAGGGAAAATGTTGGGGTAGAAGTGTTTGTGTTGATTGTTCCAAGACCACCAAAAGAGTCTGACCTCTGTTCTGAGAGTGGAATTCACATTACGTAGAGGAGGTTGACCATAGTTTCCTTGCAGACTCAGAGAGAGATAGAAAGACACATGGAGAAGGAAGAAGAGAGGTTGAGGGGTTGTGAAGTGTAAAGAGGGCAGAATTTTGTTTTGG